CCAGAATCCCAGGGATTCTCACCCCTTCAGCCACTGCCATCTTCCAGCCACCAGCATTTGCCTGGACTGTTTAGCCTTGTCAGTGTTTTTGCCTCCCTCAGTGTTTCTCCCCTGCTCTCCATCCTACCCTGCAACTGAAAATATTCAAAACAGTTGTGAGAGCTGTGAAAAATAAGCCATTTGAGAAGATGTTTGATACTACTAATCATTAGGAAGATACAGATGAAAACTTCAAGGTACCACTTCCCACTTAGCCAGCTGGCTACCATAAAAATGAAACAGTAACAAGCAGTGGCTCTGTAGAGAAATTGGAAATCTTTTTGGTAGAATGTGAAATATTGGGGCTGGGGATTTAGCTCAGTGGCATAAGTGCCTGCCTGGCAAGTGTGAGGTCGTGAGTTCGATCCCCGTACCACACACACACACACACACACACACACACACACAAGTGAAATATTGTAGCATCTGTGGAAACAGTATGAAGGTTTCTGAAAAATTAAACAAAACGATCATCAGTTCCTCTTCAAGGCGTATACACAAAAAACCCAGAGACTTGAACAGTTATTTGTACATTGATATTCATAGCTACACTAGTCACAGTAGCCAAAAGGTAGAAACAACCCCAATGTCCATTGATGGACGAATGACAGAATGCTCTGTCCCACATTTCTGTCCTCTGAGGCAGCAGAACCCAAGAGGCAGTCTGCTCAGAGGAACTGTGCCAGAGCAGCCCACAATCAGTAAGGTGTTTTTGCAAAAGGCAAAGCTGGGCGTGATGACGTCTCTAATGCCAAAAATCACCCAGCACCTGTGCAAATCAGTGACTTAGCGAGACCCCCATCTCAATACGGGCTGGGAATGCTGTTCAGTGCAAAGGCCCTGGGTTCCACCCCTAGGACTGGGAAGGGGGAGATGGAGTAGGCAAAGGGCATTGAAGGGTATCTGTTTTCATCTGTATGGAATGCTATCCTGAAATACTCTAAACTGGATAATTCATCAACTAAAATGTATAAAGAAAGAAATTATTGCTCTCTGGGGCTTGCACACACCTGTAATCCAGATCAGGAGTTTAAGGCCAACCTGCCTACATTATGAGACCCTGTTTCCAAAAAGAAAACAAGTTTTTTTATTGCTTATACTTGCAGAGGCTAAGACCCCAGCAGATGCAGTGGATGCTGAGGACCTGTTTCCTGGTTCACAGACAGCACCTTCTATGTATCCTCGCACATGGAAACGGCATTACAAGTCCTCTCGTGCCTCTCTCACAAGGAGACCAGTCCATTCATGAGGGCAGACCCCCCCCCCCCAAAGGCCCTGCCTCCTGTTACCATGGCTTTGGGAGTCAGGTTTCCACCCAAACTTTTTGGGGATACAAACACTTGGACCATAGCAAGGTGCCAGGGAGAGGGTGGTGAGGAGGGGGCACTGTAGCAGAGAGGGAGGGAAGGATGCAGACAGCAGGAGGCTGCAAGCCTGCAAGCCGTGACGGTGGTCTGGAGCTCCGTCAGGAAGACTGGAGAGGCCTTTGAAGGAAGTGAAAGGATAGGACTATTTGTATTTAGTAAGGTTTTCCCAGGAAGCAGTGGACAAGGGACGGGTGGAAGGAGCCCTCAGGTGAGTTTTCAGTAATCACAGGCAAAATTGTGAGCTGACCAAGTTGAAGGCAGGAGAAAGGGAAGACACTAAGGCGGGTCAAGTGATCACAGGATGGACTACAGAGGATGGAGGAGAAAGAGGTTGGCCCACGAGTACAGTCAGGTTTCTGAGCGTTTCTGACTTAGGCAACAAGGGAGGGACAGTGTCGTCTTTAGGAAGGGAACAATGGGAGCGGGGCTTCCGCTGGAGAAGCAAGGCCTGATGTCCAAGGCCTGTGTGGAAGGCATCCATCCCAGCCTCTCACAGCTGGGATGGTATCAGTTACACACCTCAGCTGTCCTTGGGGAGCTGAGAAAGACTTAAGATTAATTTGGTTCTTTATATGCTTAAGGCAATGGAGTAGATCAGCTTGTCCTAAGAAAATAGGAAAGACTGAGTCTGTGTAAATGTGATGAGCGCAAGAAAGAGAATCTAGAGAGGCACAGGACGTCCAGCAAACAACGATGCAAGCTGCTGTGGAGGCCAAGGAGAAGGGTACTTCTGGGGAGCTGTGCGTCAAGGTGGTTTCCAAAGTGCGCTGTGGTGCTGCTGGCCGTGCTGATGGGGAGATACATGACCAAGCATCTTTAATTTTAATAGTTACATATTTACCTGTACTTATTGCAAGTAATACAGCACTTAGGTGGTCACAGAATACGTAACTGTAACTGGTAAGATTTATCTATAGCTCCTACATACTAGGCATTGTTCCAAGTGTACAGATAGATGGAATTTAACTCTCATAGCCCCATATAGTAGACAAGATGAAGAAAGGGGCACAGTGAGGTCAAACAGCCATGTGCTTCTCTTACGATTTTTCACGGCAGTGAACTATATACATAACCTACACATGTACTGAGAATATAAGACAGAAGGAAATGTCAGGCTAGGTGCAGTGGTGCATGCCTGTAATCCTAGCCACCCAGGAGGCTGAGGCAGGAGCATTGTAAATTCAAGGGTAGCTTGGGCAATTTAGTGAGACTTGGTCTTAAAAATGTGGATATGGCTCAATCCCCAGTAAGGCACAAAGTGTGGGATTTTTTGTTTTGTGTTTTGAGATAAGGTCTCACTATATAGTTCAGGCTGGCTTTGAACTCACTATGTAGCCCAGGTTGGCCTTGAATTCACAGCGATCCTCTTGCCTTAATCTCTGGAATGCTAGGATTATAGATTACAGACATGCACCACTAGGCCCAGCTCCCAGTATCACACAAAGGAAACATCAAACAAACAAAAGACTCTTGGGACCATCCTTTCCCCTGCCTAGGGGGTGGTCAACTTGCATCCTTTCAATTCTGGCCCTCATAAGAAGGCATGGTCTTAACTGTTAAGGGTCAAAAATGTGTTTGTTATTGGTGTAGGGGGTTAGATTCAATATTGTTCTAGAAGATTCACCGAGTTCTCTAAACTTAACCAAACCATTAAGCATTATTACTCCTGTTAAGTGTATTAGAAATGTGCTAAATTACTTCCTTGATTGCATTTTGAACATTTCAACAGCTGAATACATTGTAAATACTCCAGCAGGGGTTTTTATTTCTCATCCTTATTTCTTTGGAATCCCTTGAGAAATACAAGAATCTTGTTTATTGCTCAAATATATCTTGTTTAATGTCTTTTGTGTTGATCCCTGGTGTCTTACCAGCAAAAATGGTAGTGAAAATGCTCCTAATTAGAAGAAGGAATAAAACGGGAATGAAAGGCACCAGAGAATGAAAGCCACTGGAGAAAGACTACAGGGACACATGCCTTCGGAAAGAAGCCAGAACATTGCTTACAAGTCTCTGGGCCCCCGGAGATAACGCTGTGACTCTTGAGTGGGCAGCTGGCCCCGAGCCCCGAGCCCGGAGGCCTCTGCCCTGTCCCACATCCCTGCTGCTGCTCGCCTGAAGGTTCTGTTCCTGCAAACGGCAACTCCTCAAGGAGCTGTTTGTCCACAGACCAAGGAAGAAGCCCTGTGGCTTCCCAGAGCCTCGCGCCTCCAGCCTTACTCTGTCCGTCTTCATGGTACTTGTGCAGGTTGGGTTACAAGCCTGTATGTCATAAACTCAGCTGTCTTAGGGGTGCTGGAATCAACCCCATGGTTTCACAGAGCTACGTGTGCTCCAAAGGGACAGAACAGGCACCACCGGGTAGGGTTATCAGTGTGGTCACATTGACATCTTTGCCGGCTCTGGCCATCACTGCTACAGCCCAGCAGCTCGCCTGAAAGTCTGTCTCCGGCATCATCCTCATCTCTGCAGGTCTCTCCTCTCATCTCGAGGGTACTGTGATTCTGTGAGATTGGTGAGGAGCTACAGAAGCTCCCGTATAGGAAATTTTTATCTTAAAAAAATACGAAACTCTACTATAGAAAATTTTAAAACATAATATCCAAAAAAACAGAAGAGTATAATGAACCCTTACATACCCATCACTTTGCTTTAACAATTATCTACTCAAGCCCAATCTATATGCCATCTGTGTGTAATTACCATTCTGGACTATTTTGAAACAAATCCATGTGAGTTTAGAATATGTTTTAAAAAGACAACTCTTAAAAATATTTTAAAAAAACTGTTTGTAAAATGTTGCATATATGCATGCATTCCAGGGAAAAGGTCCAGAGCTTCATCAAATTTTAACTTCTTTTTTGAACCATTCAGACGGTGTCCTCCCCTACTTAATTCTCCTAAGAGAACAATCATGGCAGCATCAAAGCAACGCCAAGAACCAGTCTGACACTCAGGAGATTGTCAAATTTTTAAACTGAAGTTAAACTAAAGCTTTAAATTAAAGTTTAAAAAAGTATGATTACAGTGGAATGCAAAGAGTCAATCTGCCAGAGGATCAATAATTTTTAAAGCATCTTCTCATCTTTGCACCATTAGCACTCTATACTTTGATGGAAATACTTTTCGGGAACTTGCTTCTAAGAAAAGTTTTCAGCTGTTTCTTCCCTTTTTTTGGGGGGGGGGTTGTTTTTTTTCTCACTATGTAGTTCAGGCTGGCCTTGAACTTGTAGTGATCCTCCTGCCTCAGCCTCCTGAGTGCTGGGATTATAGGTATGCACCACCATAGCTGTTTTAGATACAGAACAGTAATTTTTGACCTCAAAAGTTTTGAGGATTAAATGTAGTCTCCAAAAGTAAAAATGATTAATTAAAAAGCAGAGGAATATTAATTAAAGGCATTACACAGTGGTCAGTGTGTCACCAGGAAAGCTTTCCAGAAGGGGCTCTAGGAAATGTCAGGATGGAACTGCTTAGAACATCCTAACATTGAAAAACACAAAGGAGAACATTACTTCCACAAATGTGACACTAAAATATTTCAGAAGTCATAGTGCAGATTAAGTTAAAATAACTAGATTAAGAAAACAGACATAAAGTATATTTTTTTATTTTTCAAAAAAAATCTGGGTTAAACAGTCAAGCTCCATGTACATAAAGCAACAATTTTGTTTTTTAAAAATCAAGAACCTTGCAAATTGGTAACAGACTCTACGAGATTATCAACTAGAGGGCTGGACTAGATGAACAATAAATTATTTCTATTGCTGACAAGCCTCGACAGAAAACGACAGGACACCTGCTTCCCCACTCATGTTCTTCCACATGCACGAGTGTGTGCCCAGGGCAGCCGCCACTGAGGGGAAAGAGTTGGACGTGGTACAGTAAAATTATTCAAGTTATAGAACATCCATCTGAATGATGTTTCCAGTGTTAAGAAATATGGGCATCTTTCTCTGTTAAAAAAATACATATCCAGAACAATGAAAACATAAGAGAGACAATTTTGTTGATATTTGAAAAATATAACCACATAAAAAAGACTATGCCTTGAAATGCAAGTACTGTGTTTCTTACCTAAGTGGTTAAATTAGACTTTGTCAGTTACAGCTAGGCAAGAGGACTCTGGGAAAGGTTAGACTTGAAATCTACCAAAAAGAGATTCTTTCCATCTCTTCAGGAAGGTTTTGCTGTTTCAGAATGAAAAACTATGCAAACGCAGTCTGTGAACTGTTTTATTGCTAAATTTAAAGCAAACATGCTGGTGTCATTGAAAATTGAGTTGAGAGTTTAAATTGGCAGACAACTCGGAGCACAGATGAAATTGGTGTAGGGCCAGGAAGGAGCCAGGCATTGGGGCTGATGATACTCTGTGTTCCAGGTTTCCAAGGTCTTCCAGTACAAGAAAAAATAAAACCACAAACCCAGCTGTCATGCTAATGCTGACATTGTGGGCCCCAGAATTTGTTTTTACTGCTTTTTTTCTTTCCTTAATTAATACAGTGTTGGGGTCAAATTCAGCCTTGAGGATGCTGGGCAAGCACTATATCACTGAGCCACAGCCTCAATCCTTAGTGTTTGAATTACAGCAGAGTGCCCTAAAATCTGAGTTAAGGAAAGCACCTCACTGCCCGGCTGACTTTCTGCAGTTAAAACTGAAGTCTTGCATTTGCACTGCAGAACAAGTTTCATTTTTTGTCTTACTCGCTTTTTAAGAGATGCATTTGGTAAACTGTCACCTGGTAGCTGTTCTTGTGTGAGGAGGAGGAACCGCAGTGGAAGGGATCTGGCAAGCTTAACTTGCCGCTGTCAAATGTCAGAGGAAAGATAGGGAGCCTGGCCGAGGCTCACTGGGGAGCAATGACACTGTTTTGCTTTGAGACAGGGTCTCGATACCCAGGCTGGTCTGGAACTTGTGGTCCTCCTACCTCAGCACCCTCAGGGCTGGGATTCCATGTATGACTACCACACCCGGCTAGAAGCAATGGATTTTTTTCACAATAGTATTTAAACTGGTTGTGGGGGAAATCAAAAATAAGTTATATTTTATTTGTAGAAGTCATGTCTGAATTTTCTACTTATACTATCATTAACATACATTATTTCAGTAATAAAAATAAAACAACTCTATAGCACTGCAATTATTGTTAGGTCCATCTTGATTAATTTAGCTCGTTCAGACGGAGACTGTGGGTACTTCCACACATGTGATTTTTCCTGCTTAAAAGTATACATGTTCTTCTGCTAGGGGATGATGACCTGACGTTCAATACCTGTATCCCTTGAAATTGTATTAGACAAATATGGTTTAGAACAGCTTTATAGACTGAAATACAATTATTTTTCTATGACCAGTACATAGCTATTTTCTGCATGCTTATCATAAAAACATTCTATATATTAACATACGTTTGAAATTTCAAAGGTGGAATTTATCCTGTCAAAATCCCGTATGGTTTCCTGCCATTCAGTGCCATCCTACAGAGCAGAAGTCTGAAGCCAGATGTTCGTTTCATTGTAAGCATCTTGCTAGTTTTTAACTGGATGCCTGAGGATGGTTTATCATTTTTACCAGTAAGTTCCTAACTATTGGTCCCATTCACCTTTTGTTTTTTTGGTGTGTGTGTGGGGGGAATCCTGGAAGGCAGTGAGTCTTTTTTAATCTATAAACATAGATCTTTCATTCTGTCAGGAAAAATTTAATTCTTATAGTCTAATATTTTTCACAGTATGATAGTCTTCCTACTAGAAATGCCCATTTCAGCAGTGCCAGTAATATTATTTTTCTTATCTATTCTCCCCATTTTCATTTTATTTTTTATTAATAAAAGATGTTTATTATTACATTTTTTTTTTTGTCTTTTTCTTTTTTTTTATTGGTACCAGGGATCGAACTCACGACTGCCTGCTTGCAAGGCAGGTGCTTATGCCGCTGAGCTAAATCCCCAGCCCCCCGTTATTACATATTTTTTAAAAAGTCTTAAGTATGTCCTTAATATAATTGAGTTTTAAAACTATCTATTGTTCTTTTCCAGTGTGGGTTTTAATCTGCTATTGTGTTTTAAGTTCTGCGAAATCTGTCTAATTTATTTCCTTTTCCATTTTATTCTACTCACTTCTTTTTCTTTCTTACCGGTGCTGGGGATCGAACTTGCGACCATGCGCTTACAAGGCAGGTGCTATGCCACTGAGCTAAATCCCCAGCCTCTCACTTTTTCTTTCTTTTTTTAAAAAATCTTTTTCTTTTTTTATCGGTACCAGGGTTCGAACTCATGACCACACACTTGCAAAGCAGGCGCTTATGCCACTGAGCTAAGTCCCCAGCCCCCTCACTTTTTCTTTTAACCTGTTCCCATCTTAAGGTAACCTTTTGTGGAAGCATGGAAGCAACATTTTATTTCCTTTTTTTTTTTTTTTTGGTCTTTTTGAGACAGGGTCTCACTATGCAGTTCAGGCTGGTCTCAAGGTCACTTTGTAGCCAGGCTGGCCTCAAACTTGCAAGGGTCCTCCTGCCTCAGCCTCCCGAGTGCTGGGATTATAGGCGTGTGTTATCACACCCTGCTGGAAGCAACATTTTCAAGAGTGTCCTGGAAACTGTTCATTTTCCTTTCACATGTTTTCCGTTTTTCTTTCCAGGCCTCGCTTTGCTTTTTTGCTTCTCTTCCTGTACTCTTTCTTGGATGTAGATCCTTCTTCCCATTCCCTGTCCACTTTCAGATCCTCTTCCAGTCAGGTCTCAGGTTGATGGTAAGGTGATGTGTGTATCTCTAGGTCCAGTTTCTGGCTTACTACTTTTCTACTTAAGTAGTACCACATTCCTTCCTGTGGCCTGGTTTTCTGAACATTGCGCCAACCTTGTGTCTTGGTCTCTGCATGTCCCACTGCCCAGTCACTGGCTATTTCTGCTTGGCTGTAAGAGGCTTTATTCTCAGAAGACACCGGGCGTCTACTGGTCCCTCCCTGCTGTCTGCTCACGTTTTGGCCTGAGGATCTGGAGGCCCAAGCTGAACGAATAGGAAGAATATTGGGGAAAAGGAAGAGAGGGTGGGATTCAGACCCTTCTCCTCACGCTGAAGTATCTGTTTAAGGTCAGTCTGTAATCTGTCCAGCTCGAGAGCTCTTGACCATGGATAAGGAGGCATACACGGTTGGGAGGAAGACATACACTAAATCACTTTCAAATTTTAAATTTCACAGCATTTCCCTTTCATCGATGGAAGACAAAGATTGGAATACAATCTGCAGGGTTTTCTTCATCCACCTCCCTATGCCTTGGCAACTGTCAATCCCCTCTAGAGTTCAGATTTGAGATTTTGGTTTTCTGGGTCATTATGGGTCTTCTTCTAAGAAGGTAAGAGAAACTCACTGGGGCTTCCTCAGCCCAATGTCTTTTTTTTTTTTTTGTCCTTTTTTTCTTTTTGAGACAGGGTCTCACTATGTAGTTCAGGCCGGCTTTGACTCACTAAAGTAGCCCAGGGTGGCATCAAACTCGTGGCAATCCTCTTGCTTCAGCCTCCCGAGTGCTGAGATTACAGATTTGTGTCACCATGTTTGGCTAGACCCAGTGTCATTTTGACAGATGTTGTATCATTAATTTTAAAAATCTAAATCTTCTCAGTTATGATATGGAATAAAGAATTCTGGACTAATTTTCTAGTTCTGAATCTACTATTGCCTGGTTGACCTTCAACAGGCTCTTTAATATCTCTGGGCTTTAAAATAAGGGAATTTGGCTAGATGACCTGGGAGTCACCTATAATTCACTGTCTTTTAAGTCTTTAAAGAGTAACTAAATATGGCCTGATGAAGAATAGAAAACAAATGAGCAAGTATGTTTTGCTCAGAGTACCTCAGCCTAAATACTATATAAAAATGCTAATATTTAGTACATAATTGTAATACAGATTAAGAATTCCTTTTCATATTAAGCCAAAGTTTCTATGTCTAACTGACTTAAGTAAACTGACATGACCATGTGTCTTTTAAGGTAGGTAATATATACTATAAATTAATTAATGGATAAAGACAGAAGGTTCTCTATAGGGAGAACCTTCTTTTTCTATTTGTTATTCACAAAATAACATCAGGCTTTCCAAGAACTATTAAATGGTGCCAGGTAACTAATCAATTATTGAGAGTACATACAAGGTGTAATACAGTACAGCTTCAGAAATGAGATGTCTACAAAGTAAGTGGAAACTTGTTAATTTTTTAGAAGTTCAATGGACATTTATGGGCCTGAAGAAGGCAGTTTTTTCTAATCAACTGAGCACTGGATTTGGAGTCAGAAAATCAATGTTCAAATTTAAATCTCCAACTTACTAGTTCTGCAGGAACTGAGAAGTTTACTTACCTTATCTGAGCCTTGGTTTCTCAGTAAGTAAAATGGGAAATATTATACGTACTTTGCAGAACTATTGTGAAACTACATGAGAATAAGAGGCAGCTAGGAGGAAGCCCTTACTACAGTGTTGGTCAAATTTGAACTTTCAAAATAGTTGTATTTGAGCAAATCAGTAAATATAACAATAACTAGAATTAAATACAAATTAATCAGTTGCCTTGACCATAAAGTATTTAGGAGACCATTTTCCTCTCAGCCGGGGTGGGGTGGAGAATCTAATAACTATTAATATTAATGTAACACTATGCAGCTATATATTACCCAATTTTTTGGTCTTAAATATTTCCTGAAATGATTAATTTCCATATAAGCTACATTAGACAGATAATAAAGCACTTTAATTGAATAACAATGATTCTAATCAACAATTAAATATGGGGAACATCTCTGGATATCTTGAACTGTAAAGCAGAATTTGTTGCCAGGCATGGTGGTGCATACCTATAATCCCAAAATTAACAACTTGGAAGGCAGGTGGATCACAAATCCAAGTCCAGTCTGGGCAATTAAGCAAGACTCTCGCTCCAAAAACAAAATATAAGGGCTGAGGATATAGGACAGCACAACCCCCAGTCCTAGACAAAGGAAAAAAAAACCTAGAATTTCTCAAAAGCATCATCATTACTACAGGCAAATGTTGTATTACACACGAGCAACTTCCCTCAGAGGAGTTCTGGGAAATCCTATCCCATCAGAACACATCATGCCAGATTAGAGAATTTCCAGAGACGTCAGTTTAATTATCATCCCCACAACTGCCTCCTCTCTCAGAAAAACAGTGCAGCTATAGATCACCAATTTGCTCTACATCATGTTTTAATTTGACTCATTTATATGGAAAAATACAAAGAACCTTACCCAGGCGCATGGCTTGAACAACTGCATGTTTTTCTTTTAATACAGATCATTAAAAATTCAGTCCCAAAGCCGAACTATTTATATACAAATTTGAAACTTCCAGCATATTCTGTGAAGAGCTCTCACTTAACAGCTTCTATGTATGTAGTGGCCTTAACCTGGACTAAACGGAAGCTTACCTAGGGAAAACTAAGTAACTCTTCATTGAGGTCTTCATTATTTGCATTCATTGATATCCAAAGATAGAGGATTAGGAGTTTAAAATTTGTGAGCAATCCACATTTCATAAAAGCAGCAAAGTGATGCATGTTGATAGGGATAATATTTAAATGTCCTATTTAAGTAGGCACAGTGTAGCCAGTCTTAGCCTCAAGGGATGGCGAACCTTTTAGAGCTTTCAATGATAACGAACAGTGCAGGGTGGAACCCATACCTAAACTGAGAAAAATAACTTGTGCTGTTTAGAGATAGAAAGATAATTCTCTAAGTTTTGGAACTAGAAAAGTTAAATCTTATTCATAAAGAAGACCTCCCAATATAGTAAGAGGTGCTAGATTAGGGTATTAATGGAGGACTTAGGAATTCTGCCTCCCAGAGTGTCACCAGACTATATGACTTTTAAGTCTTTAAAGTAGTTACCAGAAAAACTATATTCCTATTGAGGAATCCCAAAGGTGTTAACACTGCTCTCCTAGGAGATGATCCCACTCTACAAGACAGCAGTGAAGTAGTTCCCAGTAATCTCTGAACTGTAGCAAGTGGCTTTCGTTTCTACATCAATATTATTTTCTTAATGCCTGTTTGTATGAATATGCCCAACGTGCTTGATGCTTTTAATGAGACTGAGTTCAATAAAAATGAAGGTAACAGAACTTCACATTTCTTCAAATACTATTTATCTGTCAGGGCAGACTAATGCAGAATAAAATCCAAAGAAAGCTGGACGCTACATGACTGAAGAGGCCATTTCTTTCACAGCTTTGGTTAGGTGCTTCCACACTTTTCCTTTTTTTCCCCTCTGCAAATGTACAATGGATGAATTTTCCAGTAAAGCCTCTTAAGGTTTTTCTGCTCTTCCTTCATTTGTTTTTGCTTATATGGAGGTATCGGGGCTTGGATATGTTGGAGGTAGAAATCATGGGCATAAACTTGTTGGCTTGATCAGGTTATAGGTTTGGTTTCCTCTTCAGGTTTAACAGTCTAAGGGACACAGAATGTCCGCAGTGGAAGAAACAGTGATGCAATGAAGATTAAGTGAAAAACTCAACCTTTATTGCATGTTTATGATGTGCATAGCACTATGTCAAACTCTATATTTAGTTAGATCTAACTGATCAAGCTGATGCCCTGTTATCCCTGCCAAATCAACTCCCAGCAAGGAGGCTGCTGGATTCTGGGAGGCGGGACCCAGAGCAGACACAGGAGGTGCTGTGGTGTGAGCTCCCCAAGACCCCTACAGGTCCTGACACACCGCAGCACCCCCATTCCTCATGCAGGGCCTGGAAGCAACTTGTACTATAGGCAAACTTGTGAATTTTTGATATTCATTCCCAACAACTGAGGAGCACAAATACTCAAAGGTAAGTGGAAAAAAATGCTCTTAACCTCCCCTCTTTCTTCTCTTGGGATTCTTCTTTCTTAGCTAAGAGCAGACAATCACGGTCTTCAGAGGAGGTGGCACAAGGCTGATTGGAAGAACACAACCACTGAAGGTCAGCTAGACAGAGCTCTCCTGCCCTCCTCAATGTCCTCTGAGGACAGGTGCAGCCATACACATGGGTTACAGGGTTTTGGCACACAGGCCAGGTCTTCACGGAGTTACCGCATGGGAAGTTACAGGGTGTATGTATCTGCACATATACACAGTGCACCATACATAACAGAGACGATAGGTGGCACATGGCAGCATTTGATACATGTTTTCTCCCCTGTCCCTTTCTCCAAGGAAGCCTGTGATAAATAGCATTTAGGGTGCTGAAAAACAGCTCTTTCATTACAGTTGGTGTCACTGAAGTTTTGCCCCTCTGGTCTTTTAGTATAATCATTTCCTTCAATACGCTAGGGATTTATAAAACATCAAGAGGTGATAGCCACCTAACTTGGGCAGGGACGGTTACTCAGCTGCTGAAAAGCCATACTCAACAGAAGGGTTACAACCTCTGGACCAACTAGTGCTACTTTTGGATATGTTAAAATCTTAAACAATCCCAGTGATTCCTATTAATTTTTCTTCTTGAACCTATTTAAAATGAAAATGGAGGTTTTATTAAATTAGGCTGTAGGACGTGGTGACAGTTCATATAGGTTATATTTCAGTTTAAGTGCAGGACTGAGAAGAAAATCACCATTTCGCTTCCACAAACACAATATCCTTTGGGTATTTAGCAAACTAAAGGAAACTGTACCTAATATGTGTCTACTTCTTCTTAAACAAAACCCTAAAATCACTACAAGAAATCACAATAGAACAACAGGCAATATCAAGTCATAGCACTATTACTATTACTTGTTATTTATATACATATAAAGATATACCAAAATTAATCTTTACTCAGGAAACTAGTAAACTAGAATTTAAATGTGCAGTAACTAGAAATGGTACACCATTAGACCTTAAGGCAGCATTGGTTGAGTATTCTCTGGTAAAGTATCACATAGTTCAGTGACCAGTGTATGATTTTAAAACAAATACTGAAATAATGCTTTGAGAAAGAAATAGGGAGGGCTGACTTTTAAGATTCCTACAAAATGAATTTGCATTGAGATTTTAATTTGGGATTAGAAAGTGTACACAGGAACAAAATGATATAAAGATATAGCAGTCTTTCCCCAAATACAAAATAAAGACACCTAGAAATTACTACTATTTTTAGTTAGTACTCTTTGGGCTCTTTTGTCACTTTTTGTTGCATTCAGAGTAGTTACCAGAAAATTCTGATGTGTTTGTTTATTTAATTTTTGTCTTTTGAGGCAGGGTCTTGCTATGTAATTCTGGCCTTGAACTCTATGTAGCCCAGGCTGGCCTCAGACTTGCAGCGATCCTCCCGCCTTAGTTTCCCAAGTGCTGGGATTACAGGCATGCACCACCACGCCTGGCTCTGCTCATGTTAAAACAAGTGGTCAGGTTGAGTTTACCTGAGTGAAACAGTTTCACACTGCATTTTATAATTTGTCAATATGCTCTGACTTTACCACTACATTCTGAATGCTGGGTTTGCTTACCTGGTAGACTGCCCAAGTCACTGCGTCCCAAGCATCTGTGCTAATCCTAAAAAGATGACATCCATTGTGGCTCAAAAAGTCATACTTTGATTAAAAAAATATTTCAGAGCTTTTAATAAATACATTTGGGGATTTGTTTCCCTGTGGTTTGTTTTGTTGGGCTTTCCTACTTAAGCCTAAACATTCCTGTTAGTTGTTTTACACATCCAGTGCTGTACGCTGACAGGGTAACTATGACATGAAGAACAGATTTAAAAGAACAACAACCTCTACAAAATGTTCAAATGAAAAGCGCTCTCACGTGGTACTGAGAACTAAGATGTAGGCACTTCTGCTTCAGAGGTTTTCACATTTGGATCACATGTAGCTTTCCCAAGCTGTTTCTTCTTAGTGAACTACTGGAAATTCTCTTGTGTTGTGCGAACTGACTAGTTCACTGGAAACCTTGTTTACAAACACCCTTTTGGTGCATTAATCTTCTTTTCATAAAGTTTTCTCCACTGACAGCAGAGATCAATCACGGCAGTGAGCAGGCCCTGTGCCCCAGCAGATGCTTCGGGACATTCTCAAGCGAGGCTGCCTGCTCTGTGGGACAAGTCATCCACCAGCAAAACACAGAGGAGTGTCGAGTGCAATTCTTCTTGAACGTGTCCGCCTCCCTCTTCCTAGCTCCTTACTGTGAATGTAATTCGACAACGTGTACAACCTTCATAACATTGTAAAGCTACTGGGCTACTGGGATTTTTAAAAATGGTACTTAAACAGTTCTGATTTTTGTCTTTCTTTTTTCCAGAGAACCTGTGCTAAAAAGGCACTAGATAAAATTAATTTCCTCACTCTTGTTGACAGCAGTTATATATTAGGTTTGCTTTTATGGTTCAGTGAACATGACACATATTTGGATAAAATAGCCGAATTATTCAGATTCACCTACTTTCACTTAAAAAGCAAACTCCAAGTCAGCGGGATAGCAGGCCACACTGACGAAGACCAGCAGGTCCATGGAGTCACACACCACCTCAGAGCTCTGGGTTGCTACTGCCTCTGGCCTCTGAGGGTGGGCCAGGCAGGGCTGGACCCAGGGAGGGCTCACTGGCAGCAGCTGTGGGAGCCAAGCCTCCTGGAGACCTGAGTAAAAGAGACGAAAGTGAAGTTCTCACAGTTTTCCAGCTTTACCTTCTTGGCTAAGTTTGGGACAATTCCCCGAAGAGACCGGAGTCCCATCCTCTGCTCCTCATACCACACGCTGCCCATGTCTGTGGCCTCCTTCCTGGCAGTCAGGTAGAAGGGGGACTTGGCCTCCATTTGGGTGGGTGGCCGGTGGATGTACATGTACTTGTAGAGGAGGCAGTACGGGCACTGTTTGTGGCCCCTGGAATGCTCATGGTAGATTTTCCCGTGACACACTCTAGTGGAACCGCTCCGACTCTCCCGCTTGACACTGTCTGTCCGGGCGAAGTAGGGCTGATTCTGTGGGTCTTTGAGCAGTTCAATGTCACCATACATCAAATCTGCATGCTCCTGCAGTGTCCGCATGTTCAGGTATTGGCTGTTGTACTTGACCACAGTGGACAGGAGAGTGATAGGGCTGTCGTCCCCTAGACACCCTGCCTGCCACATCTCCTCCTCGTCAGAGAGAGAGAAATAGACGATATTTCGAGAACGGGCACCCGACATCCCTGCCTTACTCAGCACCCACAGCTTCTCCTTGAGTTTCTTGGTGGAAGAACTGAAGGTGCTGCTGGTGATGGAAAAGCCCACACCCGCATTCTTCAGGATGCGGTCCAAGCCTCGGCGGATGGCATGCAGCGAGGTCGCCAGGAAGTCTGAGCCGTCACTCTTCTTAACGGTGACATAAAAGTTTTCAAGCAGCTCATTCAACTTCACTGCAGGGATCTCAAATGAGACAAACACTGAAGTTATACATTTGAGGATACCTAAATAGCCAGACCCCTCCTCCCTTCTAACCTTTCCTGGGGGACAGGACATTTTGTGGCCTCTAGAGGGCTGACCCCTTAACATAACAAAGAAGGAACAGTAAACTTTAAACTGGAAGATCTAGGTCCTACATTTGGCTCCCATTAATCTTTTTAGATCTTAACATTTCAATCTGCAAAGTAGGAATAACTGACACTTCAAAGGATTGTAGTAACACTTACAGCAGTGGACTATGAAAGAACTTATAACACCCGACTACACATATGCATAGATGTGTACAAATACATTATTATTATTATTATTAGACTTTTGCAACTTCACTATTCTTCTCTAGAATGTCCTTCTTTTCACTTGCAAATAATTTACCTCCTTCCCCTTTAATAAAATTCAGCCATCCTGTCTGAAAAATTCCTAAACTAAATTTAAACTCTCAATAGCTTCAGCATTAATTTCCTCGATCTCTGCACTCACTGGTCCTGCTGTCACTAAGCATGGTGCTGCGGAGAACAAGTGACACGTCTACTTTGCCCTGCATATTAATACTTGTTGATTTTCCACTTGAATTTATCTGAATTGGTCCTGATATGTCTCTGGCTTGATAAACCATGGGTTTTCAGTATCAGTATTTGTCTAAAAGATCTGAAAAAAATTAATGACTATATTTCATTTTTTTCTAATCTCACCTGATCTATATTATACCAGAAAAGTATGTGAATAGAAACTTTCTAACTAAAATACAGGCAACGTTCAGTTTGTGTACTATCATGTTACATAAAATGTGTGCACATTAATACCACCCAAAGTGAGGAACAGCTCTGATATGCGGAGTTTCAGGAGACGCAGTATCTCACAAAAGAAAAGCCTGTGTTAGCCAGTCAGTCAGGATATGGTACGCTGAGCAGAACAAGAGGGGACTACTGAGGTGGAAGGGTCATTCAGTCTTACGTATTTTAATGTAACTGACCTTCATACGTTAAGAAGAAAGGTAATATGAACTTAACACTGAAAACTTATTTGAAAAAATACAACATCTATTTCAAGTTTTAAAAAATTTAAATTGAGATCAAAAGAAAAAAATCCTTTTACATAATGAAGACTATTTTAAAGATAAGAATTCTAAAAATTACACCTAAATGAAAACATTATAGTCTTTTTATAAAGTCAGAGACAGAATAAGCATGCTGAATATCATTGTTCTTATATAGTACTGTTCTGGAGGCAGCAGAACAAGACAAGAGGAGGACAAGAAAAAGAATTTTTATATACATGCATGCTCACATACACACGCGTACATTCACAGGCATATATAGGAAAAAGACAATGTTTTCTGATAATCTGATTGTCAGTCCAGGAAACTCCAAGAGATTCAGTTGAAAAGCATCAGACTACAGCAGTATACAAAATAAAAGAATAACTTTCTTATGTACCAACAGTAATCAGTTAAAATAAAATAACTTCCCAATAACTACATTCCAATTCAGCAGGCTTTGGATGTTTTTATTGTCACTTGCAACTCCCTATTGCAGGCAATAACCTCTTTTGCCATTAGCAGCGACCCCTTTGGTTGCAAGAGAAAATGAGTTTGCATAAGAGGCACATCAGACTTACTAGGCTCCAAGCTATCAGGACAATGTCTCTCATCTCTGCTTCTCTGTGAAGACTGGGTTTCTCCATATAACTGAAATCATGGCCAACCACCTCTCTTTAATGTTTGCATCTTCAAGCTTTATGTTTTAGTAAGAGATCAACTCTCATTTTCAGTTGGAAAAATAAATAATCCAAAAGGACGGGTCCCATTAGCCCATTACTAATCCAAACAACTCACCTGAAAGTGGTCCATCATTCTTTTTTTAGGTACTAGGGACTGAACACATGACCTTGCACTTGCCAGGCAGGAATTTATGCCACTGAGCTAAATCCCTGGCCCCTGGTCCATCGTTCTTAATGGCTTTTGAAACAAGCATGTGGACTGTAGAAAGAGTTCCTAAATAACCAGTTCTAAGAAAAATCTTATTTTTTATTTTACTGCTTCAAACAAAACCATGAAACAAAGATGAGCTGTGCTTAAGGACTAAGAAACATAGTATTGTTAAAATAGCAATAACTCCCAAGTCATCTACAGATTTAGCATTTTCCCTATCAAAATCCCAACTATATAGAAAGCTAACCCTAAACTTCATATGGAAATGCTTGACTAAAAATGACTAAAACATCTTTAAAAGGAACGAAGTTGGAAAACCCATCCTTCTTAATTTCAAAACTTATTACAAAGCTAAAGATATCAAGACTGTATGTTTCTGGCACCATAATACATATATGAATCCAGAAATAAATCCTCAGATAAAAAGATAATTAATTTCAATAAGTAGGCAAAATATCTTCTTAGAGAAATAGTAATCTTTTCAACAAATGGTGCTAGGATAACTGGATAGTCTATTCCAAAGACTGAAGTTGGACTTCTGTCTAACACACAAATTAACTCAAAATGGATCAATGATCTAATGGGAGAGTTAAAGCTATAAATTCTTAGAGGCAGAAAAAGGGTATCTGGGCATGGTGGCACATGCCTACAATCCCAGCTCTTGGGTGGCTAAGGCAGGTGGATCTCCGTGAGTTTGAGGCCAGCCTGCACTACCTAATGAGAGACCCTATCTCAAAAAAAAAAAAAAAAAGAAAAGGAAAAAAAAAAAAAAAAACCAAATCTTCATGACCTTGATTTAGAAAATGGTCTCTTAGTCTACTGCTTAGGTACAAGTAATGCAAGGAAAAATAAATAAATTGAGATTCATTAAAATAAAAACTGTGCTTCAGAAAGCAGCACCAAGAAAGTGAAAAGACAACACACAGATGGGAGGATATATTTACACATCATGTATCTCATATGGGACTTGTATTTAAGATACATAAAGAACTATGATATCAGCAAGAAGACAGTGCATTTCAAAACTGGGCAAATGAACTGAACAGACACTTCTCCAATGAAGATGAATAGCCAATAAGCACATGAAAAGATGCTCAGCCTCATTAGATATCAGGGAATGCAAAGCAAAGCCACAAGAGATTCCCATCCACTCCCAATAGGATGGCTAGAATTAAAACAACACTGATAATAATTAGTATTAGTGAGGGTGTAAGGAAACCACATCTCTCATATACTTCCGACAGAAATATAAAATGATGCAGATACTTTGGAAACAGATTGGCAACTCCCCAAAAGTTAAACATGAAAGTACCATGTAACCTAGCAATCCCATTCCTAGTTGTATGCCCAAGAAGGCTGATAACATGTCATATATACATATATATATATATATATATATATATATATATATATATATATATATTTTTTTTTTTTTTTTTTTTTTTGGTACTAGAAATTGAACTTAGGACTTTGCACTTGCCAGGAAGACTCTGTGCTTTTAAGCTATATCCCTGGCCTCTTACAAAGATTTGAACACATATATTCACTGCACTTTAGTTAATATAAATAGCTCAAATATGAAAACAACACAAATGTCCATCAGCAAATGAATGGATAAACAAAATGTAGCATGTCCACAGAATGGATAGTTTTCAGCAATAAAAAAGAACAAATTATCAAGCCATGTTAAAATATGGATGAACCGGGGCTGGAGATTTAGCTCAGCAGCATAAGCGCCTGCCTTGCAAGCAGGCAGTCATGAGTTCGATCCCCGGTACCGATAAAAACAAAAAAGACAAAAAAAAAAAAAAAAAGGATGAACCTTAAAAGTGTTAGGATAAATGAAATAAGTCAGATACAAAAGGACAAATCGGAGACACAAGGCATGTTCATGATTGTACTTATGTAAAGAATCTAGGTATATTCATAGCAGCACAAAATAGAATAGATTGCTAGGGCCTGAGGTGAAGCAGAAATGGAGAGCTAATCTTTATGGGTACAATTTCTACTTGGAATGATGAGAGAATTCTGAACATGAATAGCAGCAACACTATTATTCCAGTACCAAAAAAAAAAAAAAAAAAAAAAAAAAAACACCCACCGAATTATACAGTTCAAGTGGCTCAAAGGGTAAATTTTGTTATGTATAGTTTCCCATAATTTTAAAAACCCCAAGTAAATCAATAAAAGATAACTATTTCCTTTTAATAATTAAAGTAATTATTAAATGCTATTAATATCATTTTTAAAACCCAGTGATTCACATGGTGTTCACAACATTCTTCCATCCCCACCAGCATTAACCTTCTTTAGGCCACAGGGTCTTGTCTTCTGGACCCTGAAATCACCATGAAGACAGGTGCCTGCTACTAAAAAGCTACATACTTCCTTGCAGAAATCCATGAAAAGAGCCTCATTTTGCCACACCCTTCATCATGTAGGTAATATCTATATTTCAGAGGATAAAAATTTCTCAACTCACCCACGAATTGTGCTTTATCCTCCATTCTAACACTTGTTAGTGACCCCTGGTTAGTGACCCCTGTGACATCATGAGCAAAGGAAAAGGATAGCTCAGTCTGCTGTAATCCACTCCCACAGGCCACTCAGATTAAACACTGCTTAAGAAGGAAGCCAATGTCATAGAGAATCAGCCAACACTTAGTGAACCAAAGGCCTTGCAGCATAGGTGGCCATGCTCTTTGATCTCACATTCTTGTTCTCCACGCAAGCTCTGCTGAGTCCAGGTGTGTCTTCATACAGATACAGTTGGCAGGTAACAGCTCTTGATCATGATTTGGCACCTGATAACACTCAAATTTACTTGTCAGTCTAAGCTCTTTTTAAAAAATTTTTGGTCACTGTTATATCAAAAAACCCAAGTTTATAACTCATGGTGACAAGGCATTCCTTCAAGAGTGATTAAAGAAGTAAAACTGTTTGCAAAGTTTTTAGAACAGTCCGAAGTCCTCAGCAACATAGAGAAACCAAATGTAAGTCTGAGAAAACTAAAAAGGCAGCCAATAGGGAGCAGAGT